AATAGTATCACAAGAGGATGCACTTCAATTAGACAAGAGAGAGTGCTATTCAACCTTGCAGAGAAATTTTCGGCAGTAAATTTTGCTATACCGAACGACCGCTGTACTGAACATTTAGTGTAGACCCTGTCGTGTTAGTTATAGCGGCATTCCACTGTATTAAATTTAATGCTTGTGCAAATTGCTTGTGTTAGGCTGATTGCGCTAAATAATCATGTGCAGTTGTTGCTCTTCGTGAGTGCTTTTTAGGAAACAATAGTTTGGGAAACAAATTAGCTTCCCAGTGGTGGTCAACATGTTGTTGATCAGTTGTAGCCAAATTTGTACTGAGTCTTTGAATACTAATTTTTTGGAGGGACAAACACTACGTTGATAATTGAATCATTATGTATCAAAATAAAATGTTCATTTACGATGACATAGATTGGTCTATAATTTTAAGGATTTTTCTCTATTTCCTGGTCACAGCAAAAAGCCTTGCAGAATCCCCCCTCTATAGTTGTTGTTAATTGCATCTGTATAAAACAGATAATGAATGTTCAACATTGGTATGGTGACAGACTGAATGGTCTAGGCTAATCCACAAGGCCAAACTACATGTAAGTGAGATGGAAAATTCAATCAGCCAGTAATGAATAATACAAGTATAATATCAATTTTTTTTATTGTTAAATGATGGCATGTAGTGTACAAACTCTTGTGACTTTGTGTCCTCTTGATATTTTCATTGGACGCATCACTGGTTTTAATTTACAGGGTCCTGTCTTGAAAGGTATTAAATTATTCAGTGTTAAGGCTGTGTACATAATTCAGCAAAATGACGTTGATCAAATTCACATCTAGAAGTATGCATCCTGTTTTGAGAATGTAGCTAAATGTGCAGCATGAAACAGATACCGCTCTTGTTGATCTACATGAAGTTCATTTAAGGAATAAATCCTGTTCCTTGGGGGCTTACCAGTAAGGTCTGTCTGTTCTTCTGCTTAAAGTCTGCTCTTTTTTTTGGCAAGTCTGTTGTTGCTAAGGGGCCGGAAAGTTAGTGAACTGCACACCAGTGTGCTCTCAAGTGTACTCTCAAGTGTGCAAGGAGTTAAGGAGCTGGCCTGGCTGGGTGCTATTGTTGCCAAGAAACTACATCACGAGACTCAGAGATATATTTACATACTGCGTTCTTTCCGCAGACTGGACGATGTTGGAAAACATGATCGACTTGGCGATACATTTACATTATTGCATTCTTTCTGTGGACAGGATGATATTGGAATAAAATGATTGACTTGGAGAAACATTCACATATTACATTCTCTCTTTGGCTTTTAACATGTTGAAATACAGTTTTGGCTTAAAGAAACATTACCAGCTGTGAATTTTGTGAAGTAGGTGTTTAGTTGTGAAAATTTGTAGTGCTGATTATTTGAGAGTTGGCAAATGTTGAACATGTTTTCCCTCTGGCAAATTTTATAGCAGCAAATGCTTTATGGCATCATTATCGGTATGAACCTGTATTAAAGGAACCTGTATTACGGTCCATTATTCTACCTTTACATGAAAAAAAACTCACAAGCTTACTCGGGTGGGACTCGTACCCACGACCTCCTGCTTACTAGTGCAGATGTCTTAACCACTCGACCACCGAGCTTGCCGGGGTCGGCTGGCCGGTCCGAGTCAAATGAAGCAGCAGGTACCGCGAACTATTTTC